TCAGTCTGTTTGCACACATTTTGAGCCCCGGCCGTTTGGCAACATTTTCCAGAGCGTAGAGAGAACTATTTTGGTGTGATTCGGGCTTTAGGTGGCCGGGCAGATAACGCCTAATGTGCAACTGGAAACATCGATAAACATATGGCCCGAATTCACAAAGCAAGGTTTGAGCTCAAACCTCCTTTTGTTTCGCCAAACCTCCTTTTGTTCTTTACAAACCAGGTTTGTAAAAAACGCGTAAAACGCGTCATATGACGTACGAAAACCAAGGTTTGTCGACAAACCTCCTTTGTGAATTCGGGCCAAAGAGGCTTTTTTGTGTCGGGGATGGGTTTGTTAGGTTTGTTTGTTTGTGTGTTTGTTTTTGTTGTTAATTTTGTTTCAGCCAAATGATATTGGACAAAAATCCTAGCATTTTCGGACATTGCCCCCTTTGACTCTCCCTGCCCCAAATCCTTCTTCCTTGGCTAAATGTTTGTATCCATCCACAAATGACTACAAGTTCATGGCACCAATTTTAAAGGCACACTTCAGAATTGCTTGTCGTGAAGGACAGTCACTGTATCTATTATTTTATTCTGCCAAATAGACCGGTTGACTAACCTATTCAAATTCACGTATGTGTCTTTCCTGGTAACCTCGTGACGAGTTATTCCATGAACCTGTCTTTCACGAATGAACTACAATACTTGGAATCCAGTCTGCATACATGACTTGTTGATATATCAGGCAAGCCTCGGGCAAGCTTTCAGGTTTTCAAGAACAGCCTGTGTTTAGAAAGTATGCACAACGTTTTAATGTCTTTTCTGAGAAGTCCTCCGCTACGCAGCCTAACCGCCCATTCTGGTGATAGGAAAATATTTGACATTTTGAACTACTAGCCTTAGGAAGGAGGTTGCCTAGTGACATTGGAGAAAAAGTGTGTGTCTTGAAAGCCAGAAGGACATTAACAAATACATACCATTCCATACAAAAGTAATCCCTTCCTGCCTCTTATATCTTATAATAATATTTTGTAACGAGATTCGATTAGCTCACTTGTAATCACACCTTTTCACTATTTTTTAAGGCATGGGGTTTGAATTGTGGATGGAAACATTAAGGGGAAAAGAGTGACGGAGTAGCCCAAAACAAACTGTTGTGTAAAAGTGTTACAATTTGATTCACACGTCTAACTTTTCTTTCCCTTATTCCTCTTCTCCGTTTTGGTAAAGCATGCCTCTCTCCCTCTCTCAACATTCATAACTCCCATGGTCCCTCGGAGAGGACGGTTCTTTAGTTGCTATAATACTAAAAATAAGTTAGGCTTTTTTAGAAGTCAGGTGAAAACAAAATTTATAAGAATGACAAAATGGAATGTATACTTGCATTGTGTATTACGTGTTGCACAAACATTTAACGTTTAAAGCCTATCTGCACTAGTTTGACCAACAGGGATTATACCTCCCTGAATGGTCACTGACGGGTGGTTATCTCATCAAATCAGCTCTCAATTAGCATAAAAAGCGTATCATGGGGGATCAACGGGTACCGCTTAGGCATTGTTGGTTGTATAGAGAGTGCAAGTAGCTACAAGTACTGCAGTCCCGCTTAAAGTGTAAATCAGTCACGGGTTTTGATAGCCCCTACCACAAAACCGTTTAATTTGCAACGATTTAAGGGAATATGTTGAGTTTTATCAAACACGACACGCAGCATACCAGAACCCCACGATTCACAAGATCATCGCCCCCAATTCAATTTGCTTCGTTCAATTCTCCAGCAGGACCGGAAAGCAAGAAAAAGGTCACAAAATGTTAGGAAGTCACAGAGCTTCAGGATCATAGCGAATTTTCTGGTCCGTCGCCTCATCACCTTGCATCGCCTGCACGAGGGGGAAGTCGCAGGCCTCTCGGGAGCCCAAGACGAGGAAATATACCCTGATCCGATAAATATACTTTAATATTTAGTCAGTGGCGTGGCGCGAGGATCCCGTCATGGGAGGGGGCGGTACAGGTGTCGAATAGAAATAATCATTTGTATTTATATATATGCCAATAAATGCTAGATAATCATCGTAATCGTGAAAACAAAATACGTTGACATACACTGTCGCCCTTAAAGTTAGAATATTTTTTATTAACCTCTTTTCGCCGAGAGATCGAGACAACAAGATATATTATTGATACATATAGTTTATATATCCTCATAATTATGTTGACTAATCTAAAGAGCCATAGAGATTCATCGATAAAGCTCTAAAAAGACATCAGTTCTATGTACCAAAAATAAATGATACAGTCACAGTCATTTCATTTGAAGAGGTAAATATATAATATTTCAAATCTGTCAATATTATTTCTTTTTAATGAATGAAAATTTAAACAGTTACGACATAAAAAGCACTTCATGGAAAGTGTGTATTACCTCATCATTAATTTTGACTCATAATGCCCCCCCCCCCATTTTGTGTGTGTGTGTGGGGGGGGGGGGGGTGAAGGCCGGTTACGGGACACGTTCCATCATTAGCTACACGACTCTCTTTATCATATGTCTTTCTTTTAATTTTTGTTCATGAAAGAAGGGTAAATACGATTGGAATGCTTAAAATAAATCAACTCGAGGGCACTTCCGTTACCCTGCTATATCGCCCCTCGGAAGCTCCTTCAGGTTACGTAACGAGTCATTGTAACATGAACGTGTCTAAATGATAATGCCCGACGTACTTGAAATTCCCCATATGATTGTAGATTTTCAACGTCTTTAACGATCATTTTAAATCCATTTGCTCATTGCAGAACGAATAAAGCATCGTATGTGTTTAATATTGATAAAGTGTGCACGGGATACAGTTTACAACTAAATTATTCAAACCCTTGTAAATTTGATGCTTTTTGTGCTTTGTGTAACTCAAGAATAAAAGGTGGGCTGATTGAATTAGGTCTTTTGCTGGATCCTTGTAAATGTACTTTTTCAAGAATCGTAAATTGGAACAAATCATTTATACATAATATACTTTGAGAGAAAAAAAAGCTCGGTGAGTATATGGCTAATGTAATTGTTAAATTTAAGTACATGTACAAACATATACATCATCCTACCATCTAAACACAATTGTTAAGAAGAAGACAAAAATAGCATTTAAACGAACAACTAAGATCTTTCGTTCACATCAAATTGATAGCAATTCATGAGGGGAAATATTTGCCAAAAAATGCTGACAATATTGTTTAAATATCTAGTACTTTGTGAAATCATTCCCATTTAACTTACTAGTCAACTTCTTCTTCGATTGCTTTATGCGGTAGCTTGTGATTTTTAGATACTACTACCGATTTTCATTCATATATTTATGATTGTAATTGTACATTATCAAACAATAGCATATAAATACCACTCAAGGGAAACAAGCAAAGGGATTTCATATTCAGGTGATCTAATATGAATAGATTCTTTTTGTGACGGACATTTCGATGGGAAACGGTTTTCAAGGAAACAAAAGAATGGTCTTCATAGACAGGTGGTTTCTTTAAACATGTATTAAGGAGAATGATTTCCAAGGTCAAATAACCCATCAAAGGTCGATCCTACCCCTTAACCGGGACCTTAATCCGAATTCCACACCACGAAATCGAGGGGGCGTGTTAAGGGCATTGATTTAAACGACGAGTGTCACTTGTGGGGTAGAGGAAACGGGAGCAGTGCGACCCACTCGGTTTGCAAAGGGCGCCAAACACTGATATGAAATTTACGTCCGCGCCTCGATTAACAATGCAATGCAAGATGTGTTAGGGGTACTTGTACGTGATACGATGTCCTTAAATATTGGGCCTCATGAAAAATATTTAGTGGCATATCGAAAGAGGGACGAGGGGCACGTTCCCCTTCGAATGCAAGTACTGTAGTATCTCTTTGGCGAGGAGGTATAAGTGTGTGCATGTATGTGGGGGAGGCGAGGAGGACGTTGGAGGGGAGGGGAGGGGGTTATTGAACTAAGATGTACTTTCGTGGAGGACGTCATCAGTAATATCAAGTTGGGTAGCTGGAGGGACAGGGGCACGACCCCCTTCCCCCATCTCTCTCTCTCACACACACACACACACACACACACCCACACCGCCATCGAAAGTCGAAAAGTGAGAAAATGAGAAATTATATCAAGGTATAGAACGGGGATTGCAGAGGAAATGTAATCGGCCTCATAAATTATCAAGAACAAACTAATCAGCCGATTTTAACATTTACTTTCAGAAGTCACATTCAACCTTTTAGCGATCAGCTGTTAGAAAGGCGGCCTGGCTATTAAATGTGACCGCAGTTTTTTTTGTCCTTGATCATCTGTATATTTGCGTATTGCTTCCCAATGAAACGTGTACAAAACTCCAAAGACTAGTTACCTTTAAAGACAACTGATCTTGTTTTAATAATCAGAAGGCCAAATGTCTTTACAAGTTTCACTCTACTCGTTTCACCTCTAACAATGATATCTAATACCAAATATTCTGTTTATTATATGACCAAATAATCTATGTTTATTTACTTTCCACAATAATGGGTCCTGTCAAGTGAAACATTAAAATCAGTGGGGTAGAAAAAGGGGAGCACACCACATACTTATACAGGTCCCCTCTATTAAATTTAAGAGAAAGAGTGGGAGAGAGAGAGAGAGAGGGGGGGGGGATGTAAACAATATTTGTCAACAACAAACTGATCAAAGTATTTAATCATTTACTCAATATTTGTTAAGCAGTTCCTAATAATGTCTCATTGACAGGGAGGACGGGTGAACAACTTTTCTTACCCTCTCATTTAGCATTTTTTAACTACACGACAAATTTCGGTATGCCCACCTTAATAATGAAAGTTGTGTGGATCCAACCCCGCCCCTGCCCCCATCTCATCCTTCCATAACAATGTTCTATTGAGGTTAATCTGTTTTAAAGTGTAATGACAGGTTTCTCGGCTCCTTTAATTGTTTTAATCATTTTATTGTTTTCATTTGTTTTACCCGGACAGCTCACCTGGTCCACATGATGGAGGTGCGGACGAGTGTTACAGCGGTCACGGTCCTATTGGCTCTCCTCTGCGCGGTAGCAACCGGAGATGACTACGTTCCTTCAAAACTTTATGCCGGTAAGCGAGGCAACTCCCTGAAATGAGCCCCAATTTCTTTCTTTTTATTTAATTCAGAATACAATCGCACATTTTCTTAAAGAAAAACAAATCTCAATTGATTTCTCGAGAGTCTTTACAATTGAGTTGCACGTTCTTGTATTTGATTGTTCGTTAATCCTAAGGTTTTTTCAGCCAAAGGTTATCTTGAAAATTCAGCATTCCAAGAAAAAACAGGGTTCAGTGAAAACAAGTACAAGATGATCACGCACAGAATGATGTTTAATAAGAGGGTAATCATATCAAAGTCTTTGGAGAAGAAAAAAAGCACGTCGTTTTCTTTGTGGAGTTTAGTACGTTGTTATTTCCCACAAGAGGAATTGAAAGTTGATTTGGTATTTTCTAGTCTCGTTAGAATAGGATTCGGGTTTGAAAAAGCAAATGCTTGAATAGTTACGTCGCATGTACGTGAGATAAAGGTGCACGTGACGCGTTGCAATCTTCCAACCGATGTTTTTTGCTGGACAAATGTTTTATTTATTTTTTCTCGATCGTCCCTGGTTAAGATTCCAAGAATATAAAGGTATTGTATTGCATATTTTTGGTAAAAAGTCATTTAAGTTTACAACCACTGGAACTGGGACAGAAGGCTTTTTGCCATAGTTACTACGTTAACCTTATTTGTACCTGGCGTTCCAGGGGCTGTATTATCTTCCATCTATACTTGTTCAATGGTCTCCTTTCTGATTTCTTATGTATTTGAAAATAAATCGATGACGTCTTCAAATGACGTCGGGTGACAATTTTATCATTTATCTTTAAAGTGACTTTTTATTCGTTTTTAATCTTATTCTCTTTCGTATTATAAATCGCCATGCATTGCTTTTATAACCGATACATTTGTTTCAATGACTTTATGAATTCCGTTACTTCTTCGTATATAAAACTCAGAAAACATGGAGCGAATAATCCTTTTAAAAATTATGAGATGAAATTCAAAAACGATTACGTGTATTTTTGTAACACTATCTATTTGCTCCCGCTAACGAAACGTCAGCATTTATCGTTTGAACGTAGACGAAAGTTCCCCTTAATAATCTGAAACACGATAACTCTCTCAATTTCGTCATACTTGCCAGGGGCCAAAGGATCAAGTATGCCTTGTCGTTGCTTAAATGCATGGCTCGTGTGCTAAATCTATTTAGGCAGATAATCAAGTGATCCCGTTAAATTACGAGGGAATGACGGCATCTGCGTCACACCCTTTGTGCAATTTACTAGCACAATTACCAACAATATCATAATTACAGATGTTTAGGGGCGACCCGTGGCCATAACATGAAATGGTATCTAAATATCAGAACCTTTGATGAAATACAAAGAAAAAACAAATTACTCTGAAATAGGCCACATGACCATAAGCCATACAAACAAAATCATCAATACAATTATCATTATCTAAACGAACATGATATCTATTTACCATCAAAGCACGTCAGAACGAAATACAACATTTTATGGGTATACTTGGGAACAATTAAGGTCTTTGACGGTAGAGATAAATGCCTGCATTACGTTTGAATTCATTATAACAATGTAACAGTAGAGATGAAAAGGCCTTTATAAATGTTGCAGGCTAAAATTACTGTTGAGGCTTTTTTAGATATGACGTGGATAAACCTCGGGTTTTAAAAAAAAAAACAAGTTTTAGGATGACGTTAAGTGAAATACGTTTCACATTTTGATATAATAGCACAGAGCTCAGTGTAAAAGCGCAAATACTTTGTAAATGCAGCTGCCATTCGTATTCAAGTTTTCTGTTTAATCGGTTGCGGTTTATAAACGCACCATATTTGAACACGCCTTTAGTAGTTTTGAAGCCAGTTATTTAAATTGATGAATATAAAGATGGAATCCATTAATTTCTTACCCTTGTGAAAAACAAAATTAAAATATCATGCGTAAATTGATGTCCTAATTAATTTCTCTTTCTCAGTTTATTTATTACCTACATTTTATATTTTCAGTCATTTTTCGCCATGTCATACTAAAGGGTGAATGAATAGACATCGATCAAGTGCTTTATGTTTACCTAAATAAAAGCCATATATTTCTGCATGTTTGTTTTAATGATTTTATTTTTCTATGCTTAACGCTTCAAGCATGATGAAATTAAGCCTCATTTCATTAGTTGCCTGCTCTAAATAAAACATTATTTGCTCTGGCATCTAAAGGGCTCTTCCACCGATCAATAAGAAACAAAAACGGAAACGTTTTAAGAGCAATTTACGACATAACGTCACTGCCGGTATGGTGACGATCCATTGTCGAAATAGTAGAAAATATACTTTTTTACGAGATGAAAAGTGTGTATGTGGATGGGGGGGGGGGGGTGTGCTTTGAATGGAATAAAATATAAACCGGTGACGGGTTCCTGTATTCATTTGCCTGGGGGGCTTCAAAGCTTTAATATTTGAACTACTCCGCAAAGATTTACACACGGCGCTCGGCCAACACCGAATGCTTAAGTGCTCATTAATTGTGTTTTTTCCGCCATTTCAAAGAGTGAATTGAGGTTGTGAAAATTTGTCATCAGTGGTAATTGGACGGCGGAACGCGATACTGTTTGATTTAGGTCCTTTAACAAACATCTGCTTTTAAAATAGTTGTTTGATTCAACAGTTTTGTTTCATCCCGGAGACATTTTAATCATTTGTTTGTGCTGATGTGCTTAACGGCTAAACCTTATTGATATCATTATAATTTTCGGTAATGGCATTTATCTGAAAGATAAATGATCATATCTTGTGGCGTAATGCATTAAGTATTATGTGCTCCAGATGGTAATTGAGTTTAACAGTAATGACAAAAAGATATATCACACAGAATAGTTCAAACAAACGACGGATTGACACTTAATTAAGTAATGTTGCCGTCCTCGCACTATTGTTGATAGCTTACTTCCAGAATAACTCCAGAATTTGTGATATATTATAACAAACAATATTTAAAGAATATCAATGGTTATTCAATATCGGAAGTCGACCATCATAAAAGGGGCATACGTCCAACGTCCATTTATGGCTGAAGAACAAAACCTATGCTTATAGTTATCAAATATTTCAGTCATTATTAAATCAGGTTGTTATTAACTTGACATTTTCGTTAATTTACTTGGCTTCATAAGTTCCACTATTTGTTCATTTTGTGTCTATTACTCAGTTGTTATCTTTACTATTAATTGCAGATTCGAGCCCTGGATCCATGTACGACGTAGATGGCGTCGCGACGCAACCAGAAGATGACAATGATGTAGACGATTTGTTGATGACTGTAATAGCACGTCTAATACAAAACATTGATCCTAATAAACTTGACAAAGCCTCCACCCACCGACTCCTCGCCGCAATCACCGGGCTAAACCCCCCGCAACAAATCCACCTAAGCAAAGCATTACTCGACGAAAACCTCGATCCCGCCAACGCGGATTTCATGATCCCCGATGACGATAAACGAAGTCGATGCCGCGGTAGGCAATGCCGGAATGTTGGAGGTCTTAACCCAAACGCTAACCTACGCCCTCTGCCGTTCGGAAAACGATCGCGGTTCAGCGGCGCATCGCAACACCAAGGATCACTGTCATCATCGTCGTTGGGCGATTTCTCGAACAAGAGAGGGCGCACTAAAAACAGGATACGAGAGAGAGTACCCCACTTCCTGCCTTTCGGTAGACGATAGGGGGACAAAAGGGATCCCATTTCTAATGCTATTTTAGACGATATAATTTTAAAACAAGATACCACTGAGTATAATCAATACAAGGTCAATGTAAAACAAAGAAAGAAAATGCCTTAGTACTGTAGCTAAATTTAATCCACAATAACTCTTAAGGAGATTAATATCAATATTATTCGTGTGAACGATTAACAAACCTTTGATTAACTGATTTATTGTCATCGAATTTGTTTTCTCAAAAAAGGGGTTAGATAAATTTGACTTCAATTTTCAGGAATTTGGATACGTTGAATTATTACAAATGGGATGGGAGAAGGTTTTTTTCTCAAAACCAAAATACCAAAATAATAAGGTGAAATATTTGCCATATCTATCACTTTATTGTATGCTGGAAAGATTACGTTGTTACTCTCCCCCCCCCCCCTCCTTCACCCCTCCCTCTCCCTCTCTCTCTCTCTCTCTCTCTCTCTCTTTCTCAATTTGTCAATGTTGTCTCTACCTCGCAAATTTGTTCTTCTCCCATCTGTCTCCTGTTTACCCCTTCTCTTCTCTTTTGACCATGATTTACTTTGCTATTAACAATATAATTATCATATGCTTCGGACGAATAAGTTAATTAAAGCGATTTAACCGTAGTTGATTACAGAGCGTTTTTATATTCTCTTTTCTTTCCAAACATGTATATTTGTCAGTTTATTTAGTCCATTCCTTGTCTAAATCAGGTTAAAAAAAACACATGTTTAGGTTTCTTCAAAATCGTTTCATTTCCTCCTTATGTTAACATTGGGGACGTGGTAATATCTAGGAACGGATGTTTAGTATGCATTATTTATAATCCAAACATGATTCGAAACATCAAACAATAATACTCGCTCTTCAAAGCATTAATTTGATATACGAATCGTCAAAACGAAGAATGACGTCATAGGTTCCCTTTTTTTCTTTTTCACTTTCTGCTGAAATTAGCGTAGGCAATGCAATTGCTGATATCTAAAATATCCAACACTTGTTATTGTTTTGTTCCATTCTCATTATGTTGCTGCCATCTTAAATCAATATAGATCATGCAGCGATTCAAACGGTATGAGTGATAATTTAACATGGTATAACACGGTAAAAACCGCTTATTCGTTTTCCCTCTGAATTTTTGTTCACCTAAAAGCTGTGTGCTTTTATAGAAAATGTGACTATTAATCAAACACTTAGTTTAGGAATATCCATTGCGCTTTATGATCATATCAAATCGTAATGTGGTTTCTCTCTACTTTGGCAGAGAGATAATTTGATGGCAGAGGCTCGATAAAATGATAAGTACTATTTAAACGCCAATTGTGTAAAAAAAAATTAATGTCGATGACAAAAGCTTAGCTACAAAAGCCAAGCCAAGCCAAGCTGTATATGTATGTAACGCCATATAAATGCCATCATGTAGATAATTATTATGGTCTGCTAAAATATGATCTCTTTAGAAACATATTTTAGATGACGAACATAATATTTCATAGTATTTACAGAAAAGCTTCAAAACCTTGAAAATTTGATAGTGGACAGGCTGTATTATATTTTTGTTCAATTCGTATTAAGAAATGTACAAAACAGAAATATACTACTCTTATTTGTTGTGTACCATGTATGTGAATTCTCATGTAATTATGATAATGACATTATACGGAAAATTAATGTTTTGAAAATGTCCAAAACGTACTGCAATGCTGTTTTTTTTTTCTTGCTTGGTTTCCGGAGACGCATGTAATGTCGTGTAAAATAATTTGTGAAACGTCCATTAATGGAAAATATGATTATATACATATATATTAAATTACGGAAAATTTAATGAAAACGTCTGTGTATTTGTGTTCTTTGTACGCGCATGCATACTATTGGACATTTGTTGTTTTTGCACTGTAATCATAGTAATCCAGATTCACACGAATATTGTTTTCAGGTTCAGGGTTTAAATTTTACTTTCATTCAAGGCTTATGTAAAAGATACCATTAGCCATCATTACTTACACATTTATTGTTTTCCTACTTAGTGATGGTTCTGCCTAATCTTGAATAGTTAATGAATTTCAAAATCATCAATTTATTATTTATACATGAATTATTCATGCATTACAAAAACAACACATTAAAAACATATTTTAATGTTATATAATGTTCTTTTCTTCTTCAAGTTCTTCGGAAGTAAAATAAATTACCCGTATTCTTCTCCATTTTTCACTTCCTTTCTTTTTGGTTTAGTTCTTATTCTTGTCCTTCTTCCTTTTGTTCTAATTCTTTTTCTTCTTCTTCATTTTCTTTTGTTCTTCTGTTACTACTGGTCCTACTTTAACACTAAATAAGAATTTGCATTTTATGAGAACTCCAATTCATGTCTTTTTTGAAAAAAAACTCCATTAGACCCTATCGACACCAGCTAAAAAAAAAAAAAAAAAGGAAAATTATTCAAAGAAGAAGAAAATGTATATATGTATAAAGTGATTCGAAAGTCAGGCCCCATCCCCTCCCCACCCCACCCCACACATATATATATATATATAATAATAATAATTGAAACATGTAACATGAATGCGGCATGAGGGTTGGCGACATCAGGAAGTTGAAATATCATCTTCCGGCCATGCATGATCTAGGGGAGGACAACACTCCATCCACAAACCACGTACAGTGTGTTCGATAAATAGTCATCCCCTTCCCCCTCCCCTCCCCCTCCCCTTCCCCTCTTTCTTCCTCTCTCTACAACTTTCTCTCTCTCTCTCTCTCTCTCTCTCGCTAACTCTCGTCCTCAGACTTTCTCCAATCTCTCCATCTAACACTATTTTTCTTCCTCTACCCCCTCCGTATCTTTCTCTCTCTCTTCACCTCACTCTCTCTTTCTTTCTCTGTATCAATTTCTACCTCTCTCTATTTATTTCCCTGTTCTTTTTGTAATGATATCCATCTCACTTTTGTTTTTATTTATCTCAATCATCCCTTCTTTATGAACATCTATTTCTTTCTCTCCTTTTCTTTTGCATTTTATTTCTCCCTTTTAAATGTCTCTCGTAGCCCACATTGTCCTAGTCATCACATATCCCAAACCATGTTTGATTTGTTCAACATTCTGGTCCTCCCTTCCTCCCCCGATCCACCACTGATGTGTAACAAAATGTCGGAAATAAAGGCTTTCCAAAGGTCAGGTTTATTTTAAAGATTAATCATCATTTTATTGCGAGATGTATATAATAGTTTGAAGAAAATAAAGAACGAAATACAACAATCAATTCATTTGAATACTACTACATTATAGTATTTTTTCAGATGCGCATTATACTGAACGGAAAAGGAAATCATGTTTGCTTCTTTAGGTCAACCAATCTTTTTTAATCTGTTCATATATATACTGTTGGCTAATTGTTCCAGTTCTATAAATACAAGTGAACTTTCCGGAATGAAAAATATATCGAAAGCGAAATCAGAGGCGGAAACATAAAACCTTCATATTGTAAAATGTTTTTCCCTCAAGAGAGAGTTGTCATAAAGTCACTTTCTCTAGAAACGCATTGAGAGAAGAATTTTTGTTTGATACATTATTAAGGTCTGATTCTGTACAACCTACTGAACAGTCATAATTGCTAGTAAATAATGTATTACATATTATTTGCGATTCATTTTCATTTGAAATGCTCCCGTGTAATAAAGTTTCACTCGAGGCTATTAAACAATAAATTGCATTTCAGTCCCATTTTGCATACATATCTGACCAAATTTATTACATTTCCGGTAGCAATTTACTTAATTAAAAAGAGGAAACAAGTACCACTGTAAGTAAAGTGAATGATTTTGATATGAAATATGAATATTTCATTTGTGTTTTGTTTGAAGGAACGTAACGGCTCTGCAGTATTTGGCACACTTCAAAATAATACCTTTTTTCATTTAAAGATACCCCTGCCCCACCCCACCCCATGGAAAATGTTGTAGATTAAGCTTTTCATTATATTCAATGAAGAAAGTGATCCAATAATTATACATATTATTTGGAGTCAGATGTTATTTACCATATTTATAGTTAAATTTCGTTGCTTCTATTATCGTTGCCATGGTTTTATCCCGCACAATACGTTAAGAAGTAAACATTACCGTGAAATAGACATAAACACAATTTCCGGAGTAAATATACGTGCTCTGTTCTTTAAGTTTGCTTGTTAGTTAGTAATAACCCTTTGCTTACTGGAACATTGGTGGTCCCTGTGTTAAGCCTATGGGAATTAGATAATTTAGTAACCAACGGGTTAAATACAAGGTGACGACATGTAATAGTGCATGTTTCTCGGGATTATGTTATAATTGCACTTATTTTCCCTCTGGCATTCGTAGCTATGGCCCCGCATAATATAAATATTTATAATAAGGTTTCCTTTCAAGCAAGTACAATCAAAATTAATGATGTTAAAGCGAAACATAGAGGACGAAACAATATTTATAGTACTTTCCCAAATAAATCATGAGCGTAATAAGGATAATAAATGAATCCGTCTTTGTAATAGCCGACATATCCAAAAGTCCTTTTCGCAATTTTTCATTACGTATTCAACAAAATATTAATATAGTTAAACTAAATATAAATACATTATTTACATTATAAAGTCCATTGATAAGAGGCTGATGATTGGATGATTTCTCCCAGTACCAATGTCCATTGTTATCTTATGTACATGTTTTCTCTTTAATTAATAAAATTGTATTTTTCAAGTCACGAGTGAAACTCGGTCCACCGACTGAGGTGCTACTTCTGACGAGCTGCAAGAAACCAAACAAAAGGATTTAAAAATAATTAGAGATTATAATCGAATACCATCAGGAAGGTTAACGAATTAGAAGAAAATAAAAGAGAAACGGGCAGGAGGCAATGGTGAGAGAGAAAGACTTAGTGGTGACAGACAGAGGTAAGGGGGCAGAGACAAAATGGAAATGTGAATTAAATAAAGACAGGTAGCCAAGAAACTAAACGTATAAAAAAAAGAGCGGGAGAGAGAGGGAGAGAGAGAGAAACTGACAAAGACAAATACAAAGCGAGAGATAAAGAGACATAAAATGAGAGAAAGTGAAAGAGAGACCGACAGAGTCAGAGACAAAGAAAGAGAGAGAGAGAGAGAGAGAGAGAGGAAGAGAGAGAGAGGAGAGAGAAAGGTTAAGAGACAGAGAGGCAGATAAAGAAAGTTGTACATAATTATTGAGAAAGAGAGAGAGAGCGCGAGGAAGAGTGAAAGGGGGAGAGATAGATTGAGGGAGAGTGGATGCTAAATTCACAAATCTCTGATTTAACCTTAGTAATATGTACTGTTCTATACCACTCATCTTACATTTCATATATATATATATATATATATTCCACTCAAAATTCTTTAGAACGTATTGACAAAAATGATGAGATGAGGAGGAAAGGGCACAGAATGAACGTGTGTACAAACTTAAGTTCTGCACTAATTGGGCTATACGGACTACATAGTCTACTAACACAAAATAAGTGATTTAAAGGAGAAATGGTGCATGTAAAAATTGATTTGTCCACAATGAAATTACGAACATGATATTTTGTTAATGCCAAAAGCTAACAGCAAGATGGGCAGAATAATAATATAGAAAATGTAAACAGAGCGAAATTTTGAGAAAATAGCTATACAGAATACCAAACAATTCGTCTATAGATGGCGCTATGTTACTCAAAGCAAATTATGCTAAGAGTTTTGCCAGTGGAGTTTGAGTGCCAGTGAGAAAATAATCCCGAATACAACTGCAGTCGAGGCGTCGATTCCAATGAGCAAATTCATTTAAAAAAAAAACGAACTCAATACACAGCAAAGACCATAAACCCTGTATTTTGACGCAAACGCAACATCAGTTCTTGACTCATGAATGCTTTGAGTTTTATTACGCAGACTATGAATAAAAAGAAAGTTTACATATGTGTTATACTGTATGTTTGTGCATTTTCAAATACCAGCAGGCACTATGTAGTGTTATTCGATGTTTTGTGATTTTTAGCAGAATTCGTTCAAATGATAATTATTTTGAAAAAGACCAATTTCCCACAATAAATCACAGTCAGTTACTATTATTATTTTAAAATCTGTTTATAACTTCAAGAAGAGTTGACATAATTAAATTTTACATTGTAGTCTAAAAAGTAGAATTGACCATAAACTCCCCATGCAAACGAGGTGTCATTTTGTCGACGTCAGATTGCGTCAGGGAATTCGACGCATCATGAAAGCATACAAAAAACAAAAGTGCAAATGTCTTTTGTTCACTAATGTTTTGGTATAAGTTTATCCTAGGGTTAATTAGTGCAGGAATAACGCAACGCCAGGCGCGTACGCAGGGGGGGGGGGGGGGGGGGGGAAGGGGGAGGGGGTAGGGGAGGGGGAGGGGGGTACCCCCCGTACCCCCTCCCTTGAAAAACAAAAACAAAAACAAAAACAAACTTTTCGGCCGGCGCGATTTTCAAATTTTCGGGAGCAAAATAATAAAGCTGAATCGTTGCGAAATTTTGGGCCCGATTTAAAAAAAAGAAAACCTTGAAAAAAATACTGCGTACGCCACTGATGTATGTTGCATTAACGTTCGACGCGTAATGAGAGCGTACACATTGAATAGTGCAAATGTCTTTCGTTCACGGGTGTTTTAATATAATGCGTAATAAGAGCGTTAGACTGCGCTAGCAAAAATCACCGTCTCTGAGAAGTCACGCGAGAGTTACATTATATAAAATGGAAATGAAAGAAACACGCGAAGCACTGTGTTGAATTACTAACGCATGCTCTAGTTGCGTTGACAGGCGTGGTTAGCGCAGTCGAAACAAAGTAACTGAATTGAATGTGTGTTGCTTCCCACAATAATGCCCTTCTTTGATATAAAGTCGACCTTGTGTTTAAACAACATTTCCTGCCGTTGCACACAGGACGTCAAATTATCTGCGACTTATCGCAACATATTTGCGATTAATATCAATAGCAATTATTAACATAACACAAAGTAGACCAACACAAAAATATAGGACTCGCTTTTAATTCGGTTGAATCAAACTATTTCATGCAAAGAGGGCGCCCATTTGTCATTTCGATTTGGCCAATACCTGCACTAAACACATTTGGAACTTTAACGAAACTGATTAAATGCAATGTAAGCAATGTTCAAATTGCAATCGCATTGCCCCCTCTATATGGTTTCCTTTGTTTTTGTTTGCTTAAGTTTTAGGGATATTTCAAACTAATGTGAGTAGTTCAAGGCTGCAGCGCTCGCTGGCGCAGCCGTACGCCAGGCAATTACAGAAAACGACGTATGGGAACAACTTACCTTCGCGTTTGACGTAATCCATTATTTCTCTCAATACATCGTCTGATTCACCGGCATGCTGATCTAATTGAGCGTTGTCTAGGAGTTGGGCATCACCCAAGGCATCATTGATTTCTAAAATGAAAATTAATTCAACAATACATTGTTATAATTAATGTATGAAAAAAATGTATTATTAATATATATATAATAAATAATATTGTATTTTCTGGAGCCAGATTTTCACGTAGTTTACGCCCATCTGGGTCCAAATAATGTTTTGCAAACGTTTAGTTTAATATTTCTCTTAGATGATGGATCAATATCAACAATATTAGGGAGAAAGTTCAAACTACGTCTAGCTATCCATACAAATTATGATGATAATTATAGTTATCACGTAAGAAAGTACGCCATATAATTATTTTAACGAAATATTATTTATCAACAGTATTATAATAGGCAAATGTTAACATTTGCCTATTGTCAATGAATGGTATACACTCCTTTTTAACTTGTTGATAAGTTGAGTTGCCACAACGTTTTCGTGGAGAGGACGGGAGTGTGGGGGGGGGGGGGGGGTAAATAAACATCCATACATGGCTACTCCATGCATGCTCTCTTTAGTGAGGTTTTCATTTGAACATTATTCAATGTGTAACACAACTTTCATCCGAAGCTTATCCTTTTCACCCCTGACTCGTCTTTCTTCCGGTGACCGTTTATACTTTCAAAATACACATTAGACTTTCAACGAGGTTACTCGTTTTTGCAGGTCCCAGGGAAAGTGAGCTTTATGAATGTTTAATGAAGTATGGAATGGTGTTACTTGCCTTCTGGGCTCAGCAAAAAATCCCAGTCCCTCTTCGCTGTCCCTAAAAAAATAAAGAAAGGGAAATATGAAGATCGGGAATAGTGAGCACAATTAATATACAAATACAAACAGAGAGAGAGAGGTGAAGAAAACGAGAGAGAGAAAAAGAGGGACAGAGCGAGAGGGACAGAGAGAGAGAGAGAGGGACAGAGAAAAAGAAACATACAGTGAAAACATCATGCATAGAGAGACGAGGGAATGAAACAAAGAAATAAGAGAGAATGAGAGAGAGAGAGAGGGAGAGAGAGAGAGAGAGAGAGAGAGAGAAAGAGAAATATAGGGGCACACAGAAACAGATAGAGAAAATAATGTTGTATTCAGGCTTAATGAATGCACAATTAATTTCTAACCAAAATCGTTTACCATTCGACAAAAATACTTGTTAAAGCGATATGTTGGAGTGTTAATATTTCACCTTAACACTGTCAAGTTTATAGATTTGGTGCCGTTTTTCCCTGGGTGGGGGGGGGGGGCTGAAGCTGTTATTATATATAAAGGGAAGTCTCACCAGCTTTAATAAGACATGTTCTATCTCAACTTAATAAATATCAGCTTTTTATCTTTGGGACGTTGCGGTTCAAACATTGTTTTTTTAATGCACTGCATCTACTATGTAATATATCTCGATGTAACCCACTGAATGTTAGTATCGGTAAACAATTATTTTACATGGTGAATGAATAAACAAACACACTAACACATACTGTTCTTTCTGAGCGTCCAAGTAATTACAAGGTACACGTATACACCTCAGTGGAGAATTGCAAATGTGGAAGAAAGCAATTCTAGCAAAAAGATGTCACTGCCAGGATGGGATTCGATCCATCCTATTTTGGATTTAAATTTGAGTGAATAAATTACCACTTTAACACGATATTTCACATTCCGATTATACATACCGAGTATATTTGGACGGGGCCCCCATACTTCCCTTTTGGCGAAAGAATCGTGTTCAGGTACTGCAAAAGAAGAAAAGAAAAAAAAAAGGAAAACATAATAATTTTGTTCTCCAGCAGTTTATTATTTACAGTCAACTTAAACTTTGAACGATTACCAATATTTCCAACTATTTACATTAAAAAAAACGATCGATAAGCTTCAAAATAGAATGTTGGAACTTAAAAACTGGATTTTAAATCAAACAGGACAATTATTAGACATTTATTTTTTCATAAAACATGTGTGTGGTGTTTAGGACAAGGGTCAGATCAATTAGCATTGAACGAATACGTAATGTTTAGGCTAAAAAGGTTCCATAACAAAATTATCATCGTGACACAAGAACCCTTATTTATACATTAACTATCATTATAATTATTATAGGTGGGTCGTAAAACACTAACCGCCTGAGCCACATGTCAAAGGTTGGAGGCCGGGTTTTAGGAAAATGTGTGAAATTATCGTGTTTTACTCTTTATAATTATGCCTTATTAACAATATCCTAAAAAGGTTGTCACGAGGCTTATCAATGCCTTAAATGGGCAATTTGCAAATTCATTGTGTTATCAGAGCAATCCTGTAGTAAAATAGGTGACAACTATTTTGAGCAAAATTGCAAGTGTGACAAATAAACGACCATGCAAAGAGACGATGAAAGCAACCACAGTGTTTAAACATTATAACTGGGTACAGAAACACTTTATTAAAATTGTTTGTTTATTCATTCTTGTATTATTACTCTTATTTTGTAATTATCATTATTGTTATTATCATAATTATTATTAGTAGTATTATTACCATTGATATTAATATTATCATTATCAATTATGTTTATTTTTCATTTGTGTTTCCTCTTTTAAAAACTGATATATATATATTAATTTTACACAAATCATTTATTCATTTTTATTATCATCATTATTTTAATGGGGGTTCGCAATATAAAAGTATACGTCAAGTCGAGGGTTGAGTTTTGGCAAAGGTGGACAGTTATCATGATGTTTATATATATTGCAGAAGATAAACAATTATATTGAAGGTTTCTTACCCAATCGTTTACCGACTCTTACTCGTGAGTTCCATGCCCTTGTTTGAATGTTTGACGCCCCATCATCTCGTACCGTAGGCCCATCTGTTAGAAAAGAGATAAATAATAAGAATAAATATAATACAAATAAATTTGGTAGTAGCGGGGAGGTCCCTGGTATTAGTAAGACTCTTTATTTTATAGCCCCTAGCCCCTTGTGTCGTTATCTGTTAATTGTTTTGCCTTTTGGGGGGCTTATTTTTCCATGATCCATGGATTACTTCTTTTCGTTTTTATTTATAGACTTTTTTCTCCACTTATTACGTACAATGTCACATAATAGATGAAGATATTTTAACTGTTGTTATTATTCTCCTTTCATTTAATAAACGTATATGAAAGAAAAAATAGAGTACACACAAACTATCCATTATCGCACTTTATTTTCCCTCTTCTTACTGGCCATCAACATTAAAAAGAGTGAACTTTAAAATGTATTGAATTGTATGTTTACACGTACAAATGGTGATTCTCGCAAGTTCAAAGTATGACTATAAATTTGGAAAATTCGGGTCCTTTTAAATCCGCACTGTCATATTTGTAGTTACGTGCTCCCTCTATATAGAAAACTTCTCCAATCGGTGCCTGTTGGTTCCCCATGATCCTCTCTTGCTTATGTTAGTTGAGAGCTGAGTTAATGAGATAGCCACCTATCAGTGACCTCGCTGTGTGGTCCAATCCATTCTGGCCCAGTAGTATTGACAGTCTTTAAATTGATCCCTATTAGATATCGATTTAACTTGTAAGTCTTGTACTTACACCGGCTCTCTGTCATTTTAGTCCATCCTCGGTACTTAAGTGAAAGAGAAAACAAAATACATGATAAGTATCATATTTTAATTAACAGTAGATTGTATAATTATAATGTAAATTGTTTTAATGAAATCCATATTTATGTAACAACATGTGGAAGATAACAACAACATCATCATAATTATCATCATCATCATCATCATCATCATCATCATATTCATCATCATCATCATCCTCATCTGCATCACCATCATCGAAATTTGTATTTTCAATTACCTATCTGTTTCTGCTTAATAAATGTGTTAATATATTTCATGGGTTTGCCTGGGGCTGTTGTATTATCAAGCAATCTGCTTACAATGACAGTCCTTTTTCCGCAAATAATTTTATAATGTTTTATAATGTTTGAGGAAATCTAGTATTTATGACTGTTTATTAACTACATGAATGCAGAAGAAAATCAAATCAAATCAATTCAAATCAAAAGAGGAAAAAAACTGAGAAAAAGGGTGTGCTCATTCGGGAAACGAATACCTGTGCTGACAGCCGCTACCTATTCCGGTTATATTAGCTTTCTATTTGACCATTATTTTCCATCCAACTTTAACGGTGACGAACATTTCAAACACGTATATATGAAATTGAACTAATTACTATCAGAACCTTATGCTATTTCATTTCAAAGAACAAGTATAAGTATCGATGTCGACGATACCCCCCTCTCTCTCTCTCTCTCTCTCCCTCTACTTTGTACGTACTCGTCTTAAACCAACCCGGGATTTATTGTTTGCTTTACGAAGTCTGCAACCACGTTAAATAATTAAAAACTCGTTGCGAGCAAATAAGCCCCCGTTTACCGCTCCTCCTTCAAACTAAAAACTTAATTCATTTTATAATTGTTGTAACCCGGTTGGCCTGTAAATATTTTTATAAATGTTGGCTATTGCTGTGGCAATATCCAAAGCAATCTGACAACAATGAGCTATTTAAAGACTCGTTAATCTGCAATTGTGTCTCTTTTGTTTGTAAAGAGGTAATTATCGTTTAGTATACATTTGTTGCCACAGATAAGGTTGTTATAACAGTCAATGGGCATCGATAAACTACTCACGTGCATTGATTTGAAAATTCCGACAAGTTTCGAGGTCTTTTTAAGTATTGTTTATTTGTACTTTTAAATCATTTGTCTTCTTGCTCCTATTTCTATTCTTCTTGTTATTCTTCGTATTCTTCTTCTTCATCTTCATCTACTTCATCCGCTTCTTTTTTTCCTCTTCTTCTTCTTCTTCTTCTTCTTCTTCTTCTTCTTCTTCTTCTTCCTCTTCTTCTTCTTCTACTTTTTTTATTTATAATCTTCATAATTCTGTTGTATTCAACGTAATTTTTCTTTATAACATGAAGTTTATTAACAAACTGATTTGTCTGTGCTTAAATATTATTCATTTAATGCAGCCAAATATTGATGTCGGATTGTTTTAATATCATCATTATAATCTTCTTTTTTTTCCACAATTGTGCTACTAATTGTCCGAATTTACATTAGAGCCATCGTTTAACAATGTTAAATCTGAGATGCACGGCCCTACTTGTAATCAGTGTCTGGTATATATGGTGTAATATTGTAGCCCTAATTGCGCTTCAAAATGATCAAGTAGTGCCTCAAAAAAGTAAAACATCTTTGAGTGACCGATTTTACCATACTCGTTTTCCCATATAGACTGTAGTGTTATGAAAACCGTTAGGAAAACGCAAAATTTGATTTCGATTTCCAATCATAAATATCTTGATAATCAGGGAGGCGATCGGCTCGTAAAATTCATGGGGTCCTGACTGACCTAAGGATTTATAATTATCATTGCAGCATGAGCTAAATCCAGGATTTTGTTTCAGAATCTGAGACAAAATTACCCAATCCCTTAAACTCACCGTTGGCTTTTTCTTTACCTGTCGGGGGTTGTCAGCGAAGGCCATTGCGATGATCACAGCCAACAATGTGATGCCGACTGCCTTTAAACTGAAGCCAAACTTCATCTTGCAATCTAGAGAGAGGGATACAGAGAGAAAGAGATATAAGGAGATATGAGAGATTGATGTATATAATAGAGTAAGAAAGGGAGGGAGGAATATATAAATGGAGTGACAGAGAGTTTGATAGAGAGACGGGGTGAAATACAGATAGAAAAATATAGGGAGTGAGTGAGAGAGGAATGAACAGAGAGAGAGAGAGAGAGAGGGGGAGCACAAAAAGTGATAAATAGAAAGAGTAAGGGAAGAAGGAAGACAAAACGAAGAGAGAGAGAGGAGTTAAGGGGGGGGGGGAGAGAGAAAGGGGTGGGGTGGATGATAAAAATAGATATATAGATAATAGATAGATAGATAGGTGGATATTTGGTACAGAGAAAAACAGACAGAGAGCCAGCGACTGACATACATAGATATGGTATTAGCAAATGCAAAAAGGAAACTGTTTAGCCATTTATTATATGTATTCGAACGTTTTAATAATAAAACCTCAACACAACTCTAATTTCAAATGAACTCGGATCATATCCGTTGCGGATGAGGTGTAATTTTGGTAGCGTTGTGTAATATCTTGGCTTTAAATCAAGCCCGATGAAGAAATTAGTGCAATGTATAATATTTCCTAGCTGCTGGTGCATTTGTGCACTCGTTACTTTGCGTTCATGGTTTTATTATCTCACGCGGACGCACACTCGCGTAAAAGACTGGGCGCCATTCATTGACGGGGCTCTACGTCAGCAAACTAGCGCATCACTATTCGACCGCTATTAATAATGCCGGCATGCACACACTTTGCTCGTTCTCTTTGTGCGATATATTAACTTCAGTTCATTATTTTCACCTATATAAAACAAACGAAACTTTTACAATTTACCCTAAAACATATTCACTGGGTAAATGTTCTCGTAAATCATTGATGAGGCTAGAATATATCAAAGATTATTCATAATACATTTTCTTTAGGGCAATGCGGATTTCGAATGCAGTAATAATTAGGTTCCATATATTGTATTACAAAATCATCAAGGGAGCATGACGATCATAGCGAGTTACGTGATGCTTTGAAGAAATAACCATCTGCCTCTCTCCATCTTTAATTCTCTCTCTCTCTTTCTCTTCCTCTCTCTCTCTGTCTGTCTTCTTGAGTAGGTTTTACGATGTAAACGAGCGTATCTCGTTTCTCTCGAATTTCTTTCATGGTTCCCATGTTTGAAATGTAAACAATTGAATAATTAATCGTTTTTCGTCACGCCATTGTAAGCGATGAAGGCTAAAACACATTTATCAAGCAGAAGCACATCACCATAGGGGCGAAATGAACAAGGCAAAGAAAAACAGTTAATGGAAGAAGGAAATCGTTATTCAAAAAGTCGCAAATATGTAATTGTTTTCGTGTATTGTGCATCCTTGTTTTCAGATAAACTTCTTTAAAGGCCACACAAGATAATCTTCTTTCATCTTATTGTATTTATCACGGGATAGGTATTCGACATGCATCAATATTGCTCAACTGTTTCCAGTGAAAGATTTATTTATACGGATGTCAAAAGGACTGTAATGGAGCTAAGCTTGGATAAGTATGCAAAACCACCGCGCTGCATATGAATCAATGCTTTCGTGAATTGGTGCATATTGGTTTGTGCGAAACGGCAAGTGTGGACAACTAGTGCTGAGAGGCGCATAAATGAACCAAATTGATTAAAGAGACTCCTGTATTTATTTATTTACTCCTCTTTATTTAATTAATATTAATATTAAAGTTTTGTGATTTTCATTCCATTATTCAAAATATTATTGTTTTTCAATTATGTACTATTACTACTATTCGATATGTTTTGATAAATTATTTGTATTCGAGTCACACATTAAGGGTTCTAACATGTACAAACAGTTACATTTTTAACATGTTAGTTGTTGGTTGTTTTCATTGCCTTTCTACCCGGCCGTTCGTTTACCACAAGTGTACTTTTACACACAACAAGAAGCACATTTTTAATTCATGAGTGATATTCTGCAGTTGTGAGTCGGTCAAAAGAGGTGCACATCGTTTTATTTCTTGTTTGTTCGATCTTATGTTTGATCCTACTATGTTTGACCTCATGTATGTTTGATCTCACTCTTACTTGTATTATTATGCATGATTTATTGAATAAAGAACAGATGTATTAAAGTTGTGTGTTTATTATAAGTTTTGGTAAATAATGTTTTAGTCACACTATGGTGCGCTTAGAGACACCCGTGTTAAGCGCCTAATACATATTGTCTATTATTAGTATTGCTTTATGCAACACAAAGGATTTGATAAATTACTCAATATAATTGTGTAAAGAGGTCTTGATTATCATCATGATCACCCTTCTTAACATCGGTACAAACAGATTAATCTTCCGCTGACAACAGTGAAACAGTTAAACAATCCCTTGGTTCACGCTTTCTGTGATAAATACAATGTTGCACAGGGAGATTATTCATGTGGTATTACATACTTAGCCCATTGGCTACTGGGACCAGATGGCTTATGTATTAGAGCCGATGAAAAATAAATAATTCAGTAGTTATTGGACTATTCCCTCCTTGCTAATCCACTACCGGAATAATAGATTTGCGTTATACATAGAAATCAACCCAAGCGTTACTTTTAAAGAGATTAGGTATCTTTGCGTCAGATTTTTGAGAGAAAAAATCCTGGATTAAGCTCATGCTGCAATCATAATTATAAACCTGTAGGTCAGTCAGAAACTTCAAGACTGTAACAAGCCGATCATGTTTCTGAATATCAAGATATTTATGATTGAAATTCGAAATTTCAAAAATTGTTTTCCCAACTGTTTTTTATAACACTACAGTCTATTGGAGAAAATGAGTATGGTAAAACCGGTCAGTCAAAGATTTTCACTTTGGGGGTCATTTTCAAGCGCAATTTCAAGGGCTTCAATATTTCACCATATCACAGACACTGAAGGCCATTTATCTCAGATTTGGGAAACTGGGTGTTGCTGCTTCTTAAAACAGGAAACCCACACTAAGCAATTCCCAAAAATGTGTAAGCTTGTAGTTAAAGAATTGTCTTGAGTGAGGTGGACAGATTGTAACGCTGCTCCCAAAAGGAAAAACACAATATATTCACATTCCCCCAGGGAAAGTGTAAATTGAATCCACTCATTTATTCAAAGCCGCTTATCCTGATTTAGCGACTTCAGGTTTAGTTTTTGTAAATATGTAATGCACTCAACTCTAATGAATAAGCTTATCTTTACTAACAATTTCCATTTTCAGGCCCAAAAACGTAATCTTTGATTTTGTCAATGGATTTCCTTCTCAGGAGAAAGTGACAAATGGCTGGCGATATGCATGACATAAGGGCGCTTTTCATGAGACTTTGGCATGGAAATAAGTAATTGACAATAGTTGGAAATGAATTTGACTGCAAGTAATATTTTACCATATATCAACTGCATTCGATTTGTAATTTTTAAAACATTTATTCGTTCATACTTCATGAATACATGCACGAAGCTTAAGCCTTTAGAATAACATTACCCGATTATTACCCGCCTAAACACACGACAAACATGGCAATGACTACAAAACATGCCACTTGCGTTTGTTCGAATAATGAGATTGTCGATTTCCACAAAATGATCTTACATTTCTGCTTGTTTATCAAAGGATATACTTAAAATACTGAGTGAAAGGTTATCAATGCCTTTAGATTAAAGAGTAGAATTTGTTTTATTTAATGGTACCTATGAACAGAAATAAGTATTGGTTTCTCTGAAGCGAATGGACGAGGGAATCGGAGAGGTAATTTCACCGCAAGTAAAGTTAAGATGGCTGACTAAAGCCACCGGATTAGGAATGAGAACTCTGTGATAATCCTTAGTCTGATGAAATTGCAATTGAAATAAAGATCAAATGCCACACAAAGAACACACTAAGCAATATGACTAATCATTGTAAATGGGGTTCAGCGATTTTTTTTCACGGGGAGACAGTTATCATCTATTGCTTTTTCGGGGGAGGACGGATGAGGGGGGGGGGGGGGGGGGGGGGGGGGGGGTTACGAGGCATAATAATAATGCTCGAAAATCATAATGTATCAGAAAATGAAATTAAAAATTTGTTTATGTCTGTTTATATAAACTACGAACACATTTACGTATAGTATCTTTTCTTGAAATACAAAAATAATTCATCATCATATTTTTCGTATAACCATTTTGCCGGGGACAAATATCGTGAGGGATGTTAGGCCACATCAAGATTTAAACATACATTTATCGCTGTTTGCGAGGTCATAACACATTTAATATGCCCTTCGCATAGATTTAGTTTCCTATATTCATTAATATTCCAATACCCATTTGATTCACCATCGAGGGGATGACTTGTTAGTTATTAAAAGGTTACTTTCTACCAAGGTTCTTCGTAATGGCGTGCCAAAGGTCATTCACCGCTAAGAGCTGTCTTACTGAAGCCATTGCTCTACTAAACATGTCATTAAATGAAACCTGAAGTACTAGCAAATGTATAATGGAATCTCTTTCACACCTGTGTTGTAAAGATTTGACCTTTGGTAGGGGCCAGAAGCTCTTTTGCGAGAGTAATCGAATAATTGAGAATGCCTTCATAAACTATTTACAACAAAACTAGTAACGCCGTGTCATTCTGGAATAGCTACTGTTCTATGTATCGAAGGCAAGGTACCTTACTCCCCGCTCAATCATACACGTGTTTGGATTATGTTTCAAACACACGTGACTTGAAACAAAATGTTTATAAAAACAATCATAAGCGTTGGTTTTACGTCCATTTTTGCTATGTAAACCATGGTATATGATAATGTTATTCTTACATATCACTAATCCATCCATCACTATCCCCTTGTCTCTATTATTTCATTACTTTCACTTCAATTCAATCAACAAAAAGAAAGGCATAACTCAATCAAGCATAAGAAAATATTTTAATAAAATTAAAACGAGGTAGATAATTATTATGCAGATATTAACTGGTAGAGTGTGTAATATAATGATGTTTATGGTTCACCAAAAATTGTTATACTACACATCCTAGCGGTAATAATCTGACATCGTAAATACCCTTTATTACCATGATTAAACATTGTTATATAAAATGAAAGATAATTGCGATCTTATGCCTTGTTTGTGTCTCGAGCCGTCCAGCCTTCCGCGTCAAATGCGCGTGGCTAAGACAATGCAAATAGTGGGGGAAGCGCAAATGCGCGCATGATTGATTGGACAGTGTATGACGAAAAGAACATATCTATGTGTCGGGTGGAGAAAATAACAATGAACAACATGACCCGGAGTAAAATATGCTAATTGCAATCCTCCCAATCGATATCACGTGACGAGCTTTTGACCAATGAGAAATGTGTATCTGTCAGACCTGCCTAATATGAATAAATATGTATCAAATAGTTATCTAAATTTGAGATTATTGCTCTGCTTTGTAAAGCTTCACGCACTGTCTTGATATTAAATAAAAGAGACCTGTAGTAATGTAAACTCTGTGCCAATCATCTCTGGGTTCTCTTTTTGAATCATTTAGACACAAAATTCCTCTTTACGGAGACACATTCAAATCACGATTAAAGCTTCAAAAATATTGTACCAGTAATAACACGATCGCCACTGCTTTGAAGAAGAAAACAAATCAACTAAAGGCAATTTTAATAGCCTTGTTCGTCACCTATTGAAATGTTATAATGTTATATAAAATAAATTACGTAATTTAAACATGATCTCTATCAGACAAACAGTGGTAAATATGGATAAAGCAATAAAGGAGCTGTGAAATATCATTACTTAATCTGGTAATAAATTAATGCCCAACATGTAAAATTACGCCTAAAATACATATATTTCTTAAAGGCACACTGTCTTACTTGTAGCTAATTGCTCCCTCTATATAGAAAACTTCCCCAATCGGTGCCGGTTGGTCCCCCATGATCCTCTTTTTTCTTATGTTAAATGAGAGCTGAGTTAATGAGATAGCCACCTGTCACAGTGACCTCGCTGGCTCGCTGGGTGGTCTAATCCCTTCTGGTTGAAGGAGTAAAGCCTGCCTTTAAGCCGTTGTGCCTCATCAATGTCTATTCTTAGTTCTATCGAATTTCCTGTTCATTATTCATTGAATGCTAACAATATTGATGACAGACATATGCGAGAAAAAAAAGGACAGATTATGTTTACCGACTCAAGTAAAACAATGAATCACGATTAGGCTGATCAAAACATCCGAAAATAATTTAAAGATAACTTTTCATCAATAACAAAATAAGGAATGAAATATTTTATGCTTGTATATTCCGTGAGCAAGATGAACTTCGTATCTTCAGATTAAATTTGGATAATTTGGAGGCCTTTTTTGTATCAGTTCTTATAATGATTTCATCTTACAAATCTAAACAAGAACGAATTCGAAACGGGTTTTGCATTCGAGCAATTACATTTTATATAAAATCAATCAATCAAATCAAGCAATAAATCAAATCAAATCAAATCAAATCAAAATATTGTTGGCAAACCTTTTTTTTTTTAATGTTTGAATATGACGAAAAAATTGTATATGTTTGTGTGTGTCTCATCTTTTTGTTATGTATTTGTTTAATCGTGAGAATAACAGAATGAGATATTATAATTCATGATTTTCATGATATGCTCCACGAAAAGAATGTATTTTTTTTTTACTACGACCCTCTACTTATAGGAGCCTTGAAGTGTGGTACAAAAATCGATGTTTACTTAATCTAATAAGATCAAATATTTGCCTTGAATCATCAAAGTATGAATACATATATTCATTATAAACACCACGAAAGAGGTTCATTTAAGCTACCTCGATTTCAGCTGAAATCACATGTCAGGTAGAATGTGGGCTTCCTTAACGGAGAAGCGAACATATATATATATATAAAGGCAATCTCTAGAATCGTTTATTATACAAACAGTAAATTATTTTACTTTTTTCTTTAAACTGAATAGCTAGACTTTGATATAAATGATGATAATACATAGTAATAAATAAAAAATAAGTGAGAACCTGGTAATGTTTTCTTTTAATCGGAAGAAAAGGATTTTTCAAAAATAACGTTTTCAAGTCCGTTGAAAACATGACCGAAATATCGAATGGTTATTACTTAATCTAAACATTTATCAGTTCAATGGAATACTAACCTGTTGACTCCTCACTTATTTAATTCCCATTGACTTAATGCAAGAATCTCTGGTTCCCGTAGGCATCAGGCAATATTTGAAACCAATCTGGAAAAGCCCTTTATCAATTTTCCTCTCATAGTATGAACGAACAATCATTATTACGCTTTATGTCTGAATAAATTACTGTAAGATAGCCAAAAGATAGTTAAAATGAGAATAATGTGAATGCATAATATTTTATGCAAGATACGGGATTAATCTATAATTTCCTTCATTATAATTATGTACAATACGGTAAACACATAGATCAGTAGAGTAGATAGTGTTGGAAGTAGCCGGAAAATTCGGGAAGGCAAGGCTTGTGTTGGAAACGGCTATATCAAATAAAACAAACCTAGATCGGAACAATATTAATCAAACTAATACGTTTGTAAAAATTGCATAAAAATGCCCAACAAAGAATGTAGGAAAGTTGAATTCAATGAGTAGTAACGAGTGCTGTTAAACTTACCTCTTTCGCGTAGTACTGCTGATTGGCTGTTGTGTGCGATATCGTTGAGTTGGAGAGGGTTTAATTCGCCGAAACAAAACTATTCTTCTAATTAACAAGCTCCTTTCCTTAAAACCGTATCCACTGATACCCTCTCACCTCGATCGTCGAATGCCCAATTAAAGATTACGCTTAGTTTATAATCTTTTCCTTGGTTTGTTCTTGTGACGTCATGTCAAAACGGACCAATCACAAGGTGGACCCTGCTTGCGCAGGACACGGGGGTAGAGGGGTGTGCAAGTTGTTTGATGGCGGCGCGATCGGCGTTTGGTTCGGAAGTGGCTCTGAATGTCGCGCTGAGGGCGGCAAAGGCTACTATAAAGCTTCTTCCAAGATATGCTCTCTCTATCTCTCCCGCCCTCCCTACCCTCTATGTTTATGTCTGTCTCTCTGTCTCTCTGTCTCTCTCTCTCTCTCTCTCTCTCTCTGTATGTCCCTCTTTGTTTCTATCTGTATCTCGCTGTCTGCCTGGCTCCGTCTGTTCTTCCCCCTCTCTCTCTCTCTCTCTCTCTCTTTCTCTGTTATGCGTGTTTGCGTTTGTGGGTGTGTGAGTGAGTGTGTCTTCTCTCTCTCTTTCTACAACGATCTTTTTCTCTCTTGTCGTTCTCGTTCTCTCTCTCTCTATCTCTCTCTCTCTCTCTCTTTCTCCTCCATCTTTTGTTTCCGCCTAGTTATAATTAAGAAGTATGATGCGGAGGAAACAATAAAAACATTGGGGAGGAAGAGAGTGCGTGGTGTGTAAAAGATAATTGTGATATGGCAATATCGCAACGGCCAATACTGAAGAAAACAAATTGTTATGATAGGAAAAAAGAAAATAAGATTGATGTTATATCAACTTATACATTGAAAGAAAAAAATATTTTCTTTGAGCGAGTGGTAATCAGTTCCTATTCACGATGGGAGTATATTTTAAGTTAAATGAGGGGGGGGGGGCTAGTCACTCCTTTAAACACTATTCTTTAAAGGGGAGGGGAAATGGGCAAGGAGCATTGCCACAAATATATTTGATTGGTGACTTCCCTCCTCCCTCCACATACACAAACACATCCTGCATACAAACAATTTGGAACACTAATTATCATGAAAGTAACACTTTTAAATAATTTTATGACCACGTAAATAATAAATACAAACAAGTTATCATAATATTTATCGTAAGTTAAATTGGGCCTTTTACCAGGACATTTATTCCGCGGTCATCACCAGAAAATCCATGCAGATATAAAAAAACACTGGAGTTAGTTTCAAGGATTGGCAATCCAATCTTTTTCCTGCAGATGACAACAGATAAAATGGCAGTACAAAATTAGGTTTGATTATTCAAAGCTCACACTAGTTCACTGTCTACACGCATCAGGCGTTTCGGTAGTCACTTCTTTGTCGTAATAATTATTACGAAGAGCTCAACTTCAAAAGGCGCTAAGTCCATTTTTGACCAAAACTGCTTTCTTTATTGAAACGTGCACACTTACTCATGGAGATAACATTCATTAGATTATTTCATTTCTTCTTCTCGTAATGTAGAAGACTTATACTGCACATTTAAGTTTGATTTCAAAAGACACTATATTCACTATTTTGGCAAGGGCGATTGCGAATTTGTTAATTTGAACGATATTTGATTTTTATAATTTGGTGGATTTACCACTCTAGATGATCAGCCAAAAAATATATTCGTAACGATGCTGTGGAAATAGACAGTTCTAGACATAAGAATTAATGATAACACATGCTCTTCTAGCAATAAGAATTGGTTTAGCATTGAATTTGAATCATGAAGGCGTTTTAAACATGTAACCATGGTATGGATGACGCTAGACCGAATATTTATTCAAAAGGCGTCAAATCCACAGAAGTTTTTAAACAAAATGGGGGAAAAAATCAATACTATATTTCTTTATAACAAAACATAATTATCGCAAACAACTGATTACCAACAAGGGAAAATAGTAAATAAAATGCATTCGATTTTTGTTCACAAACGCTAAAGGTGGATTTAGTCCCTTTTGGGATGACACTGCATATCCATTTCTCTGCTGCAATGCGAGTCACATACATTTCTTTTGCTTCGTGCCATTTATGGTATAACGGGCGTTTTCTTAATCAGTAGGAAGCTGTCGATGGAGCATGCTTAGAATATTTTTAATCTTCAATTATATTTCTTTGGCTTTGTATAATCGTTGTTTTCAGCTTGATTGTCAAACTGTCCATTTTACGTTCATGGTCAGAATCATTAACTTTATTACTTCGCACCAGTGTTCTGAAATAAACAAATGAAGATATATATATATCTATACATTTACATTTGTAAAGTTTAAACATGGGTGTCACAGCTTTATGCTTTGTGATTACACCAGGTGAGGAACTATCTTAGTTTACGAAAATAACAATAATAGTATAAGAGAGAGAAAGAAAGATGTAACGTGTTTCCGCGAATGGCCGGATACGCCCAAGTGTGAGTTATACATTTAGTGTTCGTGTCTTTGTATACATATATGTTCTTTCTTTTTTTCCCACGTATCAGCGCAAAGTGATATGTATTAAGGCGGTAGTGCGATTAACACTCTGGCTGCTTTAACGGCAGTATACATTATTCCTAGGTTTTAGGGGGCCTGTGCTATACAAACATTACTTCTTTAGTATGCATCTCCGTGTCATTATATACATTTTGGTCAACGATCTCCCGTTATCATTGTCATTTCTTCATTATATTCCTTTTTTATGTTATGATAAATATAACTGCATAGTTTCATGTCATTATTGAATTTCTTTGTACCTTGAACGTGCTTAAAAATGTTCATATTGATCAAGATTTTGGTATAACCCTTGATATATACAAGGTGGCACCGGGAGGTTATTTGTGTGTCATAGTGAAGAGTTGAAGACGGTTTTAAGATGTAATGTTATAAGGAAAAGCACGTCAGTTTTTTTTCTTTTGGTGGGCGTTAGTCTATGTGTTAAGTTCAACTTCCAGGCAATATCTCATCTAAATATCAATAATTTATATTTATCAGAAAGGGTTTATCATACCTGGGAGGTGATTCACAAAGACTGAGATCGACTTTAAGTTGGACTTAACTATAACAGGCTGTTCATGCCACTCTTTGCTCTCACCGTTTACTAGCATTGGTCTTTCAATGGACGTACACATCATAGTCGCAAATCTACATAATTTACATTTGTTGACGATTCATTATTAAAGGAAAAGATATTACCTAAAAATCATATTGGTGAGAGTAACCAGTGGCATGAATGGCCTGCCATAGTTAAGTCCAACTTAAAGTCGATCTTAGTCTTAGTGAAACATCCCCAGGGGGCGTTTCGTAAAGCTGTGCGTATAGTTACGAATGACTTTATACATCATTTGAATATGAATGGTCAAATTGGGAGCCCACAATTTGTCCTGACATTTTAACAAAATGTGACTGTATTTCTCATAATCTGAACTACATTGTAGCCAAACATACACTTTGCACTAAAATGTTTTGTTAACAATGATTAGATTAATCTTCATCTGCAATTTTCAACTTTAGCTTAATATGCAATTAAAAGAATTTGAGAATTCTAGTTAGATCTTCATATTCAAGTCATTCGTAAAATCATTTTAATACGCACAGCTTTATGAAACACCCCCTGACCATCCTTGGTTTTCTATGGATTAAAAGATAAATCCTTGTTTAGATACCTCGTTGCAAAACTGCGTGTTTTTTTTTCTTTTTAAGAGGGAAATTTTAATACGCTTGACATTTCTTTAAGACAAATGTTTAAAGTGTTTTTTTTCTGTTTGTTTGTTTGTTTGTTTGCTTGTATTTAACTATGTGTTGTTGTTGTTATTATCTTAATATTTCAGCGGCGGTTTTCATGTATGATAGTTATATGGACGTGGGCAAACTGTTTTCAGAAATGAAACTCTCGATGGATTCAAAAGCTAATCACAACATTTAGCATAAACAGGGGGAGTTTTTTTGGTTTGGCTTGCTATTACAACGAGAAGATGATAGGCGAATACAAATTAGTTAGTAGTGTTCGTAGTAAACCGCCTACAGTTAGGGAATTGAGAATTATGGAAGAGCTCACCCCTGTTTAGCTAAAGACCATTTTGTTTGGCCTGTCCATCGGCACATGTTAATCTACATCACATAGAAATAGCTTTGATGTTGCAATGTTGGAAGCAAGACTAGTCGCTGCAGTGTGTGCTCGACTTGTTACAAATATTAAAGTATAAAAATGAATTGAAATAAAATAGCATGAGATTCAGAAAAAGATAACAAATTGAGTAACAGCAAATATAAATCCTAATAAAGTACATGAAAGGGAATGAAATTAATGAAATTATTCAAATCAACAAAAACCGGATGAAGTTAAATAAAGTAGAATAAATAATGAAAAAGAAAAGTATAAAATAAGATAATGTAACATAAAATAAAGTCAATTAAATTAATAAACGAATGATACAAGAAAATAAAAAAAAATAATTGGACGATAAAATAGTATAGTATTAATGACTGCTTTGAGAGAAATAGTTGTTTTATTACGCTCAAGGGAAGGTTAGAATTGTGCTATTCCCCGAGGCTTGCCGAGGGGAATAGCCCAATTGTAACCTTCCCGAGAGCGTATGAAAACAACTATTTCTCGAATATTAAAGCAGTCATTAATACTTTTATATGCCGAAAAAAAATAGACTAAAAAATAAAAAATAAAAAATAATTTACTTTTTTGTCGATGACGGGATTCGAACTCTTGCGTACAACAAGAGGTGTATCGAAAACCAACGCTTAGACCACTCGGCTATCGCGCGCCGTTAACATGCTTGGCAGTTTTCTCCAATATATACATTAAAATGGATTGAAAACGGCTCCGCGTGAGGGATGCTTCGCAAAAGCTCCATGAAACGGACCCTTCTTTTACTTTTGCAATGCATATTGGCACGAACTTAGATCAAGATCTATCGGCAGATGTTGTTTTTTTGTTTTTGAGAGTTAATTTTCGTCTTCATGTCAACAATGCAAGATAAAATTGTCGGTAAGATCGATCGAGATTCAATTGTATTGAAATTGCCGACCAATTTTTCGCACACGTATGGTATCCTCCATCGCTCAAACCATTTTTTAACATGTAAACCTATGGGGTAACCATGGA